GAAGTTTCCTTCTTTGGAAATGCATTAAATTAACTTACAGTAAATTAATATACAGTTATACATAACATACAAAATGAAATAAAATTTGATTTTATAAAATAAATAAATATGCCAAATATATTCCATAAAATATTAATAACATAAATTAAATTAACTCATATCAAAATAAAAATTAGTACTCAGAGTTGGGAAGATATAAAATGTTATAACTATAATTTATATAATATGTCCTAACTTAGAAAATATAGGTATAATGAATTTTAAAAATTTTGATTTATATAAAAAGGAATAAGAGCATGTTTGATGACAAAATCAAGATTTGCTTGAGTCAATGTTTCATTAGAATATTATTCATCATTCATGTAAAATACACAACTTAAAATCTGAGAWAAATGAAAATAGGATTTGAACTAACAAGAACTTTCCATTAAAAATAGATATTGTGTTAGATTTTTCAATATCACATTTATGGCAGTTCCACTGTTTAATAAATGTATATTTGACAGAAATATTTATTTTTATTTTTATATAATTTTATAAATTATTATGGCTACAATAAATATATTTGACTAGATAAATTATGATCAAGACTTTTTATTCCATTAAAAAACACCATCAAACTTTACCTCGACAAAAATATCCTACTTTTTAAAAAATATTGCTATGCCCAACTCTGGACTGATACTTTTTTGAATGACTAATTCTAGTTGACTAACTAAATTGATTTATGGTGACTTGGTTTATGATAAAACACTGTTATTATCAGTATTTACACCACCATTTCCTGTGCTATTTTGAACTTGTTGATGATGATTTTGAACACTTCCACCACTAGATGATACAGGTGTTAATCCTGTTCCACCGTCCATGAGCGAATCAAAATTCAATACTACTACACCCGTAGAGCCATTTTCAGATACTTTTTTATTATTACCAAAATTGCCATTGTTTAGTTGCAATAGTGTAGTGGGTCGTCTTCTATGAGGCTGTTGCATTACAGAAGTAGGAATACTATTTATGGAATCTTTGGTGTCAATATCGGTTTGCATTATAGAATTATCTTCATGCTTTATTATAATATCTTCAACATTATTACTATCATTATCATTGATTACTATGTTTGTACTAATGTTTTGCTGTAAAGAATTTCCCTTAATTGATGATAGATGATTACTTAATACAGCAGGCTTTGTTTCAGAAATTTCATTTGAATCTAATATTGTAGTGGCATGATTTACAGTAGWAACAGAATTGGATAACTGCACATTGTTCATATTTACAGCACACTTATGCTGAGCTAACATCTGTTGAAGGTCAGTTTTTTGTTGACGAAGTCCTTGAATTTCCACTTGTAGCCTCAACCTCTTATCTTCTAATTGCCCAGTTTCCTAAACAAATGCATAATATGAYAAAGTTAATAAAGGGTATATAATACAACATTAAGACAAATTAATAGAAATATAAATATTTTAGGAATGTGAAAATTTATATAGTTGGACAATTCAAAATTTAGAAGAAATTACCATTATATTTCGATGTTATAGCACTTTTAAAATAAAAATATTGAAAAACAATTAAAGATTAAATTATAATGATTTAAAATTAAAATAAATAAGTGATGTCTAATTAAAAACATAATATTTTGCCGTATACCTCTAAAAGTTCATTTGTATGGTCCATCCTGCGTTTACGACAACGAGCTGCTGCCAGCTTATTACGTTCTCTTCTAACCTGTCGACGTTGTTCTTCTTCAGCTGACATCTAAAAAATATTGATGATAAATAAATAATCAAGTGTACACCAAATATCAATGAAGTTAGTTAAAAAGTTACTAAAATATAGGTTTAAACAAATAACTAGTATTGCATCATAATAATATAAGCTACATCATTTTAAAAATTATATTAAGAAGATTCTAAATTACCATTTTGTTGTCTTTATTATTAGTTCGACGACCACCACTTGAACTGCCAGTACTATTCTTGAATTCATTTTTAACACTATTTTTCGAATTTGATTTATTAKTTTTAGTATTTTGTTTGCGTGTCATTTTACTAGAAGTTGTATCACTACTGTCTGTTCCATCATCAGCTGCAGAATCATAATCATCATCACCATCTTCATCATCAGTCATCAGTCGTTTTGTTACACCTTGTGTTCTATTATGAGGTCTTTGAGTAACTACTACTCCTTGCCAGTGTGAAGATGATGCTGAAGTAGATGAACCTTTTGCACTAAATATAGAGCTTGAACCAGAACTGTTGGTGTTGTTTAATAAAATTGTTGTACCTATGTAAAATAAATGTATTAGTTAATTTATAAATGTAATACTTAACAATTCTAAATTAAAATGTTTGTAGGATTAAATACCTGATGATTGTTGAGCACTGGGGTTGCTGGAATTGATTTGCAATACTAGTGGTGGCACAAAACCAGCCTGTCTTGATGTAGCCGTTGAAAAAGAATTATTATAATCATTACGCTGCTGTTGATTCAAAGTGTTTTGATTTACATTTTGGTGGTTTTGTAAATTATTGAGACTAATTTGTTGATTATTTAGACTTTGAAGACTTATTGTTTGATTACTTAGATTTTGTATGYTAACACATTCTTGTAAATCAGTACGATCAGTAGCATCTAAAGTTGATGTGTTTATAGTAGAACACGAAGACAACACAAGATGATGTAGGTCAGAAGCTGCAGCTGCAAAATTTTCAGATGGACCAGGTGACAAACTAGCTATGTCGGCAGCTATGGTACGAAGTGTAGTTGGTGTTAAAGTTGGTGTTGTCCGTGTAGGTATACCACCACAATTGAGACCATCCAACTAGAAAAAAAAAAATGTTTTTATTTATAGAAATGATAGAAATTACATATGTTTATTGTATAGATACTAGCTATTAATTATTAGTATTTAAAACTTAATTGTATAATAGGTAATAAACTATGGTTAGGTAAGAATGTTT